TCTTTTCCTGTGCACAAAAAGAAAAAAAATTATGTAAAAATAATTGATGGATGTTTTTGGAATCTGCACAATATATATAGAATTCTCTAAATTAAGAATGAAAAGCATGCGACCCTTCCTGAGTCTGTACTGGGGCTAGGCACGCTGCTGGCTTTTGTTCCTGTAGCATGTGCATGCCATGAGATCCTTTTTTTTGTCACCGGCACTTCCTCAAGTCACTGACGCGACAGAAAAATCACATGGCATGTAAAGAAGAATACATGTTCTTCTAAAGGCTATTTTATCCATTTATTAGATAATAATACCTAATGTCATTACTGTTTCTAAACACTTTTTTATTTCTTTATTATATAATACTTATAATTATATATTTTTTTTATTCATTATTATTGTTATTCATTATTGTTTCTAAACACTTTATTGTATCAAAAATACAATAATTCTGTGTGATAAAATTACTTTTGTGATACCATAAAGACATGTCCTCAGCCTGACATATTGAAATCAACAAAATACAGCCAATTTCGTAAGAATTTGCAACGTTTGTCTTTCTTTTACCTGAATTTGGTTACAACCCAAACTGCTAGAACTAGCAATGGCTGCTCAAATTAACATATAGGAATGTTATAGTTTGAAGGTTTAAGCAACCGCTGATTTAGGCTGGGGGGACAACAATCTTGAACTTTTTCCTAATTTCTCAGATGTCTCAGTATATATATATATATATACATATGAGATATAATATATAAATAAATTGTATTGGCGATTGAAACAAGTTTATGTAACAGAGCTCTATTTGACCTTTGTTCTTCTATATGAAATGCTGCTTTCAAGGCATGCCTGGACATGTAGTTCTACAAGTCACGTGGGTTACTACCATGCTATTAGGTAAAAGGTGTCATGGTGGAGTGTTAAGTAAATTTGAAGCTTTGTAATGAGGGATATAAGTTGACTTCCTCTAAACAGGCTAAACAACTGGCTATAGGTTACGTTCTGGTTTGAAACCTAAAAGTCTCCTAGGAGAGACAAAGGTTGCCTATCTGTGGAAGTCAAGGTGGACCATGGTAGGTAGTCTATGGAGACATATGGGTTACATTGTGATTGGCAACTTTTCATTTGGAAGGACAAAGGTCGCCTATCTGTAGTATCCAAAATGGACCAGGATAGCCATATCAAGAGATAGAGAAAGCCTTAGCCCTTGTAAGAGCTAATGGGTCAACGGTTCTCACCTGTTCCATGAGGTTGATGATGAAGGATCATTGGCTCACACACACGGAGCCACCCTCCTCTCGCTGTTCTGACGCGACCTGAACGTTTGGATGGCTTTCTTGTTCTGGAAGTCGATCAGAGCCATGGTGATGGCCGCGTTCCAGGTGCTTTCATCCGGGCAGCGGAAATCTATCTCCTTGTTGTCCGTGGTGACAATGGTGAAGTAGATGTATCTGCCCGTCCTCTCCACACAATCCAGCTTCTTGATGGACTGGAACTTGAGCTCCTTGCACTTGCTCTTCTTCTGGGCATCGGCGAACATGTTAAGGCTGTCCCTGGTCAAGACGCAGAGCTTTTTCCTCCAGAACTGGAGGAGGTTGTCGCTCCTTTTCTCCAGCTCGCCTTCCATGATCACATCGGACCCCTGCATTCTCATTCTCTGTTGGGTTGCTGGTTTGGGGCAGTTGCTAGGATGCTGGTCCACAGTTGGTGGCTTGAAGCAATCCAGGGGACAGAGAGCAAGTCCTGGAAGCTTGGGGCTGTGTGTGCCTCTCTCCGGCTAGGTGTGTGAATGGGAAGAATGAGGAGATATGTTAGCATTTATCTCACTTCTCACGCCACTCCTTCCCAGCCCTCCAGTGACGAGCAGAGGAATGCTGTTCCTCCCAGTGCTTAGTCACTGGTCTCCTTCAGTGTCTGGGATTGCACTCACGCACTGTCACACCCACTGGCTTTGAACATTAGCTTCAGCTCCATTCATAAGAGAAGCCAGGCAGGGGAGAGGAGATCCCCTCTCTAATTCCTGATCCTGAAAGCTTTCTGGCAAATGTCTCACCGCAAGCAACCCACCGAGCTCAGACCAACACACCATATCACAGCATCCTTCTGCTGTAGACTTAGGGGCACCCATAGAAAGAGCAATGATTGCTTGCTATTGATTGCCGGCCTATGGCAGCCCATACATGTGACATTGGATTTGAAACATCACCAAGATGAAATCAACCATTTAACATTAAAGTCGGACTCACCTGTAGAGCGCCCTTCCGATCACAAAGCTGCATCGATCGACCCTTTGGCATGGGTGTGGCATCTCTTCCCTTTTGTGTGTTACCTTAGAAGAGGGAAAATAATTGTGTTTTGATGTTTTTAGATAAATAAATAAGAATAAAGAAATGGAATTAAAAATGAAAATAAAGAAATAGAAAATAAAAAGGCGAGATACGATCATTCGATACAAAAATATACAACTCTGTGTCCTCAAGTTCTGGCATGCCTAATCTTCCTGCTTTTGATCTAAGCAACTTTTTGAGGATCTCCATTGGACAAAGGATAGAATTAAGAGATTTCATTGTTTTATCGAATTGATTGTAAAAGAATATATTCGTGTTACTATGTGAATGATCTGTATAAGAATCGTCCTATTCTTCCTTAGCCCAGCAGACCCATAGACCAGTGTCCCTCCATGTAAGCAGTATGATGTAGGTGGAACATTTCAGCTGATGGTTGTCCATCTCCACTCACCGTCCGAGCGAAAACCTTTGCAGCCAATTGAAATCATCGTTCAGCCCTCTAAGCCGATGTCTGCAGACAAATTCACAGTCTGATAATCACCAGAAATGGGTGTAATTATTGATGAATCATTTGCTGAAATGCTGGTGTAGCCATCCCGTGGGAACTCTCGTTATTGTGGAACCAAGGTCTTCAATCTTTCAGCCGGGCAACAAAGGATCCTACAGATCGGGGGAAGGCAAACTCTGGATCTCCGGCTGTGGTGTAACTACAAGTCCCATAAGGCATTGCAGGACTCTAACAGCCACAGGCATGACTCCAGAGATGCATGATGAGATTTGCAGCTTTACAGATGTAAGCACACTAGGCCAAAGTGTAGAGTGCCCTGCTAAATGCTGATACTTGTGGTTCTTACTTGTGGTTCTTACTTGTGGATCTATACCAGGGGTGGGCAAACTACAGCCCTCCAGCTGTGTTGCAACTACAAGTCCCATAAGGCATTGCAAGACTCTAACAGCCACAGGCATGACTCCAGAGATGCATGATGGAATTTGTAGCTTTACAGATGCAAGCACACTAGGCCAAAGTGTAGAGTGCCCTGCTAAATGCTGGTAATTGTAGTTCTTTACCAGGGATAGGCAAACTCCAGCCCTCCAGCTGTGGTGCAACTACAAATCCAATTGGGCATTGCAAGACTCTGACCGCCACAAGCATGGATCCCAGAGACAGATGCAGGATGGGATTTGTAGTCACAGCTGGAGTGCCTACCCCTGCTCTATAGTAGTCCCCTTGGTTCCTCCCTTGGCAGATACATAAAAGGTTACAGCACAATAAATGTGATTTTCATACACCCTAATACATAGCATTAAGGCTCCAGTCACACCTATATTTGAGGTGCAATTAAGTATTCCTGTCTCAGAAACGTGTGATTTCCTGCTTCCCTAACCTGCCATTTACAGGTGTCAGTTGTCTGGAACTCTTTACCCCAACCGGTCCGTCTGTCTATCACCTTGACTGCCTTAAGGCGTTCCCTAAAGACTTATCTCTTCAGGGAAGCCTATCCCACCTCAACCTAAACGCTCAACCATCACGTTCCTATACAATTCACCCCCACACACCTCCCTCCTCATGTATCCCTGGCCCCTCCTCTTTTAGAGTGCAAGCCCTCAGGGGCAGGGCCCTCCTTCCCATCTTGTCTTGAATTGTATTGTGATTGTAATGTCTTCCTTATATTGTAACGTGCTGCGCAAACTGTTGGCGCTATATAAATCCTGTAATATAATAATAGAATCAGCACTGCAGGTATCAAAAGGCATGCTGATGATTAACGAGGGTGACCCATAGTTTAGCAGAGGCTGCGCCTTGTAATTACAAGTCATAGGCTGATAAAAACTAAAACGTGCATCCCTAACCTCACATTACTAAGGACTGAGAAGGCATGCTGGCACTAGTAGTTCTAGAACAGCTGGAGGGGCATGGTGGAGGAGACTAGTGTCCGGACATGCTGGGACATGATCTCTTAGGACACAAGCTGCCTATTGATCAGAGTGATAGTGACATGCTGGTCTAGCTCCACTAGAACTGGAGGGTGGTAGTGAGCAGACAATAAGTACTATCCTTGTCGCACTCCTTACCGATATGTCCCTTGTAGTGGGGGGTGCTCGCAGTGACCGCGGATGGTGCAGCGAATGTCAGCAATTGTAGAAATGTCACCGGCACACCAATCCTTTTAAGATAGCAAAAGCTTCATTTATTGAAGTTTTTTGTCATATGACCAAACAAGCGCTTTCGGGACCGCACAGGGTCCCTTCATCAGGCTTTAGCATTGACGAAGGGACCCTGTGCGGTCCCGAAAGCGCTTGTTTGGTCATATGACAAAAAACTTCAATAAATGAAGCTTTTGCTATCTTAAAAGGATTGGTGTGCCGGTGACATTTCTACAATTGGTAGTGAGCAGAGCCACTTGTCTAAGCCTCCAGCTCTATGCCATAGATGAAGTCAGCTGTATAAAGTCCAAACAAAGAGTCTAAGAGCCCAAAACTTGTAATATTAGTGCACAGAACAGCCAATGCATTTGGGAACCCAAAGCCGCCCCTTCTACAAAACAGATATGGACACCTATGAATTCCTTCAACATAATGGACGATAATAAAGACTCACTGAGTTCCCCTTAACTGTTTGGCTCCATTTGGCTTTCCAGAACAGGTTGCTGTGTTGTCACACCGAGCCCGGAGGATAGCGCAGTGTTTGGCCTCTTCCTGCACCCAGACACCACCATGTGTCCCTCTGGTACAGGACCGGTTTCGTACAGTTTCAGCAGGTTCTCTCACCGGCAGGGAAAAGGAGGCTTCCTCTCGGCACGCTGCTTTACAAGCCAATTTAGAGACAAAAGAAAACAATAACATTTTACATGTCTTCTCGTTACTGTGTAACTCCGTCTAAAAAAAGAAAAATGCAATGAAATGCATCTCATAATAAACGCACACAAAGCCGACATTCACCTGTATAGCAGCTCTATTGTATGTGTAGAAGCCGGATCGGACCAGAATCCCATCTGATAGGTAGTGTGCCTGGGGTCAGTGTGAGTGTGCCTGGGGTCAGTGTGTGCTGGAGGTTCTGCAGCTCCAGACCGAGATTTATAATATGATATAAAGATACATAATCCAATTATCAGACCGTCCTAAATGGGCACACGCCCAGCTACTGTGACCCTGGACCCTCACACTATTCCTTTACCCTCCTGCTAGCCCTAGAACTAACGCTCACCCTAACACTAACCCTCAACCTAACACTATTCTATCTGTAAAAAATAAGTAAAGGCAACTGGATGTGCTGTATTTTTCTTGAAGACTTTTTACTGGTCATCCGACCGGCTTTCTCAATTCAGAATGACTTGTACAAAAAAAAATATACCATGACCTGGATGACTGAGAACCTTCACACACTCACACTATTCAATTACCCTCCTGCTAGCCGTAGAACTACCCCTCGCCCTTCTACTAAGTCTCACCCTAACACTATCCCTCAACCTAACACTAGCCTTCAACCTAACACTATCCCTCATTCTAACACTATCCCTCACCCTAATACTAACCCTCACCCTAACACTAACCCTCAACCTAAGACTAACCCTCACCCTAACACTAACCCTCAACCTAATACTAACCCTCACCCTAACACTATCCCTCACCCTAACACTAACCCTCAACCTAATACTAACCCTCACCCTAACACTATCCCTCACCCTAATACTAACCCTCACCCTAACACTAACCCTCAACCTAACACTAACCTTCAACCTAACACTATTCCTCATTCTAACACTATCCCTCACCCTAATACTAACCCTCACCTGAGCCCTATCGCTATTTCTCATCCTAGTTCTGATCCTTGATCTAATCCTAACACCAGTCTTCATCATAACCCTCTTGCTAAACCTAAAATTAATCCTAACCCTAACATTCTTGGAACCCCTAATCCTCACCACACCCCTAACAACCATTGAAGTAATCACCATCCAACCAACCATCCCCCTAACACCAACCGTCACCCTAACACCAACCGTCACCCACCATTTTTCACCATGTGGTCAGTCTGAATTGCCCAGAGTTGTGACCGCATTACTGAAAGGGACTTTCCATCTTTAGATGACTTCAGTCCTCTGGCATGTGCAAAGCTCACCTGTAACTTCTTCTGGCTTTGAAGCTGCCTTGTGGGCCTCTAGTCTAGGCCATGCCTGTGTATTTCTTTTGCCCTGAGGTAGGTCGCAGAGCCATGCAGTGTGCACGACAGAGCTGAGATTCTAGGTCATGGCAGCGATTACACCCAGCCGTGCCTGAACAAGGGGAATGTGTAGCCTGTGAGTGTTTTCATGCTAAATTTACCAGTTTGGCTGAAGATTACTTCTAATAACGATGTCTTCAAGAAGAGACTTGTCACCTTGTACTTGTATTATGTCTAGTGTATTTATCTCGAGCAGCAAGCAG